TTTATGTTCGTCTCCTCCTCCGTCGTATAAGGGTAGGCAACGCATCTGCAATTGCGGATGTCTATGGGCAGCAGTGGCCGCTTGCTCGTTTGCCACCTTATGTTATAAAAATGTATGAACTTTGTAACCACCGGTTGCTTAAATGACTCGATTTTAAGTTTGTCAAGCAGTAATTTTAATTTGTAATAAACTAAAATACTGTTTTTTTTTATTATTAATTCTTTTAGATTAAATGAGTCATACTTATATTATAAATGCAAAAGTTTAGATGTATGGATATTTGTTAGAGTTTGTAGCCTAAACGTCTGAATGGATTTTGATGGAATTTGGTATAGATGTAGAGGATAGTCTGAAAGATACATAGGCACTTTTTTAATTCGACTCGGACGGAGTCGCGGGCGAAAGCTAGTTATAATTATATTTTAATTTTAAGTGACCATGACAAAGAAATCGAATCTTGTATAAGTTCGATCGCCAACGAACGAAAGCGACACGTAATACAGTAATGGTGATTGAATAGTTGCTACAGGGTGTTACATAAGTGACCACAATTGTCAGGCAACTTCGACAACTGGACCGGAACGTTGATTATACAGGGTGATCCGAATATAAACAAATTAAAGATTTGTAAGTTAATAAATTATTGACTTAACTTGACACTATTGGGTATAATATTTTTTATAAATCTAATTAATAATCTAGATTGAACTATTAAAAAAATACAGAAAACGAAACAAGAATAAGAGAACTTAAATTTCAAAAAAAAAATCACATATTTTTTGTCGATTTGGTTAGTATCGAATCCCAATACTTTTTAGAAAACAAATGGGATCGAATTATTTCTTCAGATTAATAAATTACATAATTCATTTAATTTATTTGCGTTATAATATCTTTTAAATATACAGTCGACTAATAAATTATAAATTTTAAATTCATCTTTAATTTTAATTTTTCTTAGATGTATTTAAGATGTTTGTAAATCGGAACATCCTGTACATCCGCTCAAGACTCGACCACCGGTTTACGCAAGCCGTGCAAAATGAGAAGAATTGAACCACCTCTATCTACTTCCCGATTATTTTATGTCATCGCGCCCTAATTAATTTGGTTTTGGACCTTTTTTATTCATTTTGGAATACAATTACTCTTTTATAGACATAAAAAACACTTCAAGATTCCTTATAGACATTTGTCATGTCTCTTCAACTTACGGAGGGTCGGCACAGTATGCTGCTCTTCTATACATCTCTATCAGCCGTCATATCACAATCCACTCCTTTCATAAGCATATCCTCTTTTACACAATCCATCTATACTTTCTTCTGTAGCCATCCACATTCATTCTTAACACTTTCTGGTTCATGTCCCCATCGTCTCGTCGTACATGTCCATACCACGCTACCCTTTTGCTTCTCAAATTTCTTGTCATCTATAAGTATAAATTTCATACTATTATAGCGTTCTTTGTCTTCCTAACCCTAAATATTAGACGTTTTTCATCTTCATAACTAAGAATTCCCGTGTAACTTATATACGTGTTAGGTAATAACAATTTGAGAAAATAACTAACTAATGTTAAGAACAAAATTAGTACAGTGGTGTAGAATTAGCGCAACTCTAGATTGTCGGCATAAACGTCACGTCCCTAGCTGACAGCTGTCAATGTCACTAGAAGTATGGATAGATTGGCGCGCAACCTGAGTCCTGACGAGAAGTGTTACTCTGAGTTTAAAGCGATAGTATCAATTAAATATATTGTCTAAAACTAAGTACATATATTAATGACTGAACCGTCTAAGACACAATAAAATAGTTTCCGTTCATAAAATTAACTAAACATAGAAGAAAAGATATAAAGTTTAGAAAATATAGGACCAAACATCTTATATTGCTTATTGCACCATATTATATCATGAACAAAGTAATTTACGCAGATTATAAAAATAACAGGCAGTCGTTGTGCGATATGGAAATCAATCACCTCTTAGGGAACACCCCACGTGTGTCAACATGTTACGAGGTCTAGAAATGACTGATAAATTTTAACCTATTAAGGTTAAAATGAACCAATCAAAGTATTACCGGACATTTTTAGTCTTCGAATGGTAAATCACATTCTATGTTAGTAAACTATAGATAATTAAATAATTATTAACCAACTAGCTTTCGCCCGCGACTCCGTCCGCATAGTATTAAAAAAAATAAAACCAAGTAGCCTATATGTTCTTCCAGACTATCCTCTACATCTATGCCAAATTTTATTGAAATCCGTTCAGCCGTTTAGGCTACAAACTCTAACAAAAATCCATCCATCTAAACTTTCGCATTTATAATAATTATTAAGCAATTAAAATTTTAATATTATAAAACGGAAAGATTTGTATTTTAGTATGTATTGATATAACTCAAAAACTAAAGAACCGATTTTTTAAAATGCCTTTACCATAAAAAGCTATGTTACTAATGAGTAACTGACTATATGTTTCATTTTTTTAATTTTACAGGGACAAAGTCGCAGCAGGTCATTTATACGATTAGATGGAGACAATTAGCTTTTGCCTGGAACTCTGTACGCATGAATAAATAACAGTATGTAACCTATTCTTCCAGACAATCCTGTACATCTATGCCTAATTTCTGCAAGATCCGTTCAACATTGAAGCTACAAACTCTAACAAACATCCATCAATACTGTCGCATATATACTTAGTAAGATTAAAACTTAAATGTGTGCGAAACGAAAAGCCAGGACCACGTTTCTGGTTCCTGTGACGTTGGGGATTTTAGGCGTTCCTGCTCGTTTATATTTTCCATTAAAAAAGCTGTTATTATAAAAATTTGCGACTCAAAATCTTATAGGAATATCCAAATTCGTTTAATTAGTTGTGGAATTCTGATAATTCAGTGGCTTTAACGATAAATTGTCGATTCATAACTTAAAACGTAACATCCTACGTTTTAATAAAAATGCAGACTGTTGACACTGTATGCATTTTTATCAGTCGTTGCAGTTTACTATCGTGCGATGATCTCTTCGTTTATTTTTTCCTGGACATGCATTGATAAGAAGTCTGCATTGCAAACGATGAGATAAAAATCCGATTAAATATTTGCTCAAAGGATTTGTAGTAGCGTAGCGACATCTAGGAGTGGCGCCGAGACAACTCGTCGTTCCATATGTAACGAGTATGCTAATATTGTAAATAGGAAAGATTTGCATTTTTGTAAGTTTCATGGGTTTCAATATTAATCCTTATCTAAATAAATGTGATTGTTGTCAGGAGAATTTAATGTAGAATAAAATTGTCATTTACAGTAATTAAATTGGACTAATAGTTTAGAAGATATCACAAACACAAACAATCAGGGCAACCGAAAAATCAGCACACAAACTACCGGGCTTTAACATTTGGAATCTTGCATCAGTAAATTTTTGTTATCATATAGATTACTACTAAGTTAATACTTTAGGTTGAAAAAAGGGGCAAACGAAATAATTACATAAAGAGATTCTTATATACGAGTACATTCGTGATTCATGAAATATTTCAATTTTTATTAATTCTATTATTTTATTAATTATTACTTTTTATTAATTTATTTCTTGATGCGACATCTAGTGATGAGTAGTGTAACTAACTACTTCAAGTTTTCGCTTTATAACTACAGATGGCGCGCGATTTAATAAAACAAAATTGAAGCGTAATTAAATTTCATAGAAGGTACATAAATAAAAACTTAATTTTTTTTAAATAAAAATGTAAAAGTATCTAAACGTCTGGGTTTTAAAATACTAATTTAATCACTAAAATTGAATAAAATAGCATTATATATTTAAGTAATGTATGCTATCAAATCTTTCGCACGGGTTTTCCTGCTCGAATTTCTGTATTCATCTTTATTTTCATCCATGATTTCTTGCAATGCCATCATCCTCAGCAATGCCTCGGCTTCACCTTCACCATCACCTAATATTCGTTCATTAATCTGATTGGTCAGATTTATATCATCCATCAAACTGTCGTCCAAAAAACTATCAGTGACATCATCATTGTTGTCTCTTCTGTACCGTCTTCTAAGATTAAAACCAGCTTCTTTCAGCTTTCTCTTCGCTAAGTCTAGGAAAGTAGGAGAGCTGAGAGTCTCACGTAACCAGTTCTTTATTTTATTCTTCTTATCTTCTACTTGAGCTTTAAATCTGTTGGAAATTTTAAAATATTACTAAATGAATGTTGCACGAATGGGTCAGATCGCCTGGTTCAATACCACAACCACACGACAGTCGTGAAATGGAATTCTACGTTTAAATAAGAGTTCGTGTTGGAGCAGTATTTTAACCCCCTTACCTTCCCACCTTCTTCTTATAAGAGATGAGAAGTGACAATGGATTAGACGGAGATGAACGCATAGGAAGGAGTAATATTAATTTTCTGTGTAGCGAATGCATCTGCTTTTGCGGATGGACAGCGGTCCTTCACCGCTTTATGGTTTTTCAATTAAATATAAACTATGGTTAATGTTAAATATAGGTATGTATATTAATATATATTTTTTTAATTAAAACTAGCTTTCTCCCGCTACTCCGTTCACTTGGAATTAAAAGAAAAGTAAATATATAATATACGTAAATATAAAAGTAATATTCTTCCGCACTACTCTTTACTTCTATACCAAATTTCATCGAAATTCGTTCAGCCGTTTAGGCTACAGACTCTAACATCCATCCATCCATCCATCTAAACTTTCGTACTTATAATATTAGTATGGGTAGGTGTGGCATGTTATATCCAAGCGGTAGTCTGATTATTCGTATTAAAAATCTATCATGCAAAATAATATGATATGTAAAGAAAACTTTACATTTTTTTTCTCTTAGCAACGCCACAACGTTCTATATAAACGAAATATTATAGAATTAAACTCACTTCTGTAATTCTTTCTCTCGCTGTCTAGCTTTCAAAATCTTAGGCACAAGTTCCGGTTCATTGCTCGCTTCGTTCGCGGTGATCGTTGTTTCCACCCACGAGGTTATCTCCGAGACGCGGCTGTACACGCCCGGGGATTGTGGGTCGCCGCATTTCTTACCACCGAAGGATACTATTCCTAGAAGTATGCCGTCGCGGACAGCTGGACCACCGGAGTCGTGCTGAAATAAATCCAATCGATGATTTTCTACCGTACTACATCTTCTGCAAAACAGTCGCTATTCCTTTCTTAATTGAGTTATGAAAACATCCATGTGATCAACAACCATGGACATCCACAATACTAGTGAAACTACAAAAGCGTAACCTTTAAAGCCCCCTATACGATCATTTTTATCTGAACAGTCCAATGGTCTAGATAAATCTAACAAATCTGAGAACTATTCAATTCTTAGTTCTTTAGATGTCCTAAGTCGTACTGGTTTGGAAATAATAAGCTGATTGCATTAACGGTTTACAGCATTAACCCTTGAACCGTTGGAACAAAGTCCTTTCGAGTACAAAACGACACCTTTGTCTATATCGCACACTGTTTAGTCCCACTTTGATTCCTATGAGATCATATGGAGGTGCACTACCCGATTTTTAACTGTGCAACTAAACAGTTGAATTGGCTGCGAAACAATCGACAATCGGACAACAGTTGGGCGATATACTGAAAGGTGTGCGGCTCTAAAAGCTAACACTTACATTACAAGCATCCTTCCCACCGGTGGCATACCCGGCGCAGACCATGCGCGGTGTTATGTAGAAACGGTAAGCATGCTGGCAATCGTCCGCGCCCATCACTGGCACCGGCACGAACCGAAGCCGGTCAGGTATGTTGCCGTAACCTGATTGCTGCAATTCATAATACATTAGTCAAACAACCCGCACTTGGCTAAGCTATGGCCTAATCATCACAACGTAAGGTAGGGTCCGAGTCCTTCAGTGGGGAGTATAATGAGCTGGTGATGTTTTCTTCTACTAACTACTTTCAGTGATGAACAATGCTGAGAGAAATATAAGTCGAGCGGTAAGAGTTAGCGACAACGATTAAACAAAAACAATTCTTTCCTTCGTTAGTACTTGTAAAATTCGTATTTCTCTTAACTATTAAGGGGTTTAACTTTCACGTAAAAATACAGTTTGTGCTACTTGAAGATCGAGTGCAAATTTACTATTAATAGTTCACTCGAATGATTTAATATAATAATACTTGCATCAGTACTTCCCCAGCCTGTGACAATGAGAATATCATCCGTCTTGATCTGATAGTCTCTGGAGGGCAGGTTGAGGACCGCGATGTTTCTCCCGATAGGCATCGGCCGGTCTAGACGAGCGAGGGAAAAGTCGAAGTCAGCATTACCAGGCACGTAGTTAGGCGGGAAGAACGCCTGACAAAAAATATTAGTTTAACAAAATTAATAAACCCCTAAAAATGTACAAGTTAAATATAATTATAGAACGCCTGACAAAATATATTAGTTAAATAAAATAAAAGAACGACTAACAAAATAGTAAAACTTTGAATGTAATTCTAGAGCGCCTGACAGTAAATATCAAGTTAATTTCTTTTTTCAAATCTTCTACGTGACTTTCCCTTCAGTAATTAAGTAAGTAGAACACAGAAAACATTTCATTTTGCTTCTATCAATCAGAGAATTTCGTATATGTTTCATTAGATATTTCAATCAGAATGTGACGCTACCTTATTTATCCTCGCCTGGTAGCCGCCACGATTGTGAAACGAACTGCCCGCTCTAACGATGTAATTTATTAGTTTCTTTTGATCTCCGTCGAATGCTCTGCAAAAGAAATTGTTCTATTTAAGTAATTGGATCTAAGAAATGCGAACATGTTTATTTTGTCCGAAAGGACAACATTCTTTGCTAGAATTTTTTTAATGCACCTTTAGAATTCATCATAGCAATTACGAGGAATCAAATTTTGATCGAATCTTAACTTCAGGCGGTTTATATAATCTATGGCGTCCCTCTTTAAAGTAAGTCGATACTTCACCGGTATTACTTTTAACTTAAAAGAGAGACGTGCCAATACATTTTTCTTATTTACCCCTTTCTTTAATACCATCGTACATCATCACGTGTCTCTCATGGATCCCAAAGTTCCCTAGAGTCGTCACTTAGGGTACCACTAGTCGAAGAATTAGTGTTTCGTAAGTCTTAGAATGTCGATAATTACGATTCAAGACAATGTCCCGCGGTGAATATCCACTGTTCATCGATGACGGAGCCTCCGCACCAGTGGTTGCCGTTCCTGGAGATGGCCACGTTGTAAGGATACATGCTGATGCTCGTCTCCATACCACCGACGATGCGACGCGCGGCGTACGAACGGAAAACCAAAGCCAACTGTTTTTCGTCATGAGACTCTGAAATACCTAAGAGATATTGGGTTTTGTTAGAACGTTATGAAAGAAGAAAACTGAAATACACCACTAAAGCGCCGTAAACTAAAATTGATTAGAATACCATTTTTAGTGAACTTATGTTTTGATTAACCAAAAATTCTTCTTTTATTTTTTCTTTTGTATCATTGTTAAGATTTTTTTTTATATAAAATAAGTTGGCAAACGAGCAAGCGGCCACCTGAATCCACTAAAATGGTAAACGACCGCTGCCCATAGACATCCGCAATTGCAGATGCGCTGCCTACCCTTGATTGACGGAGGAGGAGACGCATATAAAGAGGACATTTCCCCTTCCTATACGTCTCCACCGTCAAATCAACTTTTCCGTCCCATCTTTTCCTCTTAAGAAAAGGGTGGAAAGGGAAAGGGGCTAAAATTAGGCCTCTTGCACCACACTCATCAGACGAAACGCGTAATTGCTTCCACTTCACGCCAGTTTTCTGTGTGGTCATTGTATTGCACTGGGCGAGCCGGCCCTACAGTGCGAAGATGTTAAAACGGGCTCTACCATTGTAAGAATATAAATAAAATACAAACCTAAGGAATCTCTTTCATCGCGGGTTATTCTATACCTAGTAGAAGTTTCGTCGTTGCTAAATTTGTATCTCGCTTCTAACAATGCTTTTATTTCTTCTCCACTGTCATCTTTTTTGTCAACTTGATCTGCTTCTCTGTTCCTTAATATTGGCTTATTATTAAATATATCTCCGTTTATTTCAATAACTTTAAAACTTATTACTTTATTAAACAATATTATTAAACTAAATCTAAAGTTCCAGCCTACAATATAATTATATTTTAATGGTATTTTCATTTTTTCCTTTTCATTGTTTACAGTTTTAATAACACTGTTTCCGCAACTAGCAAAGTTTAATTTTGTTTTTCATATAAAATGTTTTATGAGGTTTTTAACGAGCATGTATGTCGTAAATTCGAATGGCTTATAAGATTCTGAATGGTTACAATTTATATTATGTTCATATGTGCTACTGAGTATGTTTTTTTAATGTGAAATTTGGTTGTAAAATATTACAAATAAAGATTCTATTTTTAGGTATATATTAGGTACAATTAAAATACAATTACTTTCAAAATTTGTATTAAATTGTGAAATTAAGATATTTAAAAGTCATCTTAGGAAGCGACATATGTTTATTTTGTTAAGATTGAATATTTTTTAACTGAGTATTTAAAATAAATAAAAGAGGTATTCAAGTGCTTAAACTTACTTATTTAATATTTAAAAGGTGTATTCAGTTAAAAAAAATACTTATGACTCGCTATTCTCTGGAAAAACTTCTTAAAAACTGAGGTAAAATTTTTTTTTGTGTATGATGGTAGAGAACTCGAAAGAAGACGTAATACTCATCGAGAATATATATGTTTGTATTTATTTTTAATTTAATTTATAGCTTTGTTAAAATTTATTTAAAAAAACAACAAATCACAACATTCAATTACGATAAACGTGGCAGTATGGATAAAATCATTGCCTTTTCAGCAACATTTAAAAATAAAAAAGCTAGTTTGATGTATAAATGACAGCTGTGGCAGAATGGTGAACATTGCCTTATATGAAAGATGGAATAAACAAAAAATGTCAATATAATTGACTGATTTATATTGTCTGATCTTTTTAATTTAAATTTTTACTTTTTAATAGTGTTTTATTAATAAAAATGAGATGACAACCGCACATGCCACTCTAGTTGCTTTATCATTGTTAATTAATAATATAACATATTTATACGACAGTAAGTTTGCAGTTTTTTTTATTAAAACACACTTATTGCGTAGACTGACGATTATAGTTTTCCCAATTTTAGCACTCTTCCATCCTTTTCGTACAAGGAAAGGATGGGATGTGGAAGTGGCTTTAGGTAGGGTATTGGACGCTTAGGAGTAAAATCCTCTTTCTATGCGTTCCTCTACGCATTTGCAAATTCGAATGTTTATGGGCAGCGGTCGCTTCATTATTTTGATAAATACCTGTGACCGCTTCCTTGTTTGTCTCTGCTATATCTATACTAATATTATAAAGATATTTTTGTATGTATTTAAATAATCCAAAAACTACTAGACCGATTTAAAAAATTCTATCGCCATTAAAAACCTACATTATAAGTAAATAACATAGGCTATGTTTTTTTATTTTAATTCCACGTAGATGAATTCGTGAGCAACAGCTAGTATACTATAAAACATTTTAATCCAATGCGTTTATTTTACAGAATCTGTGATCGAAGATACTCTTTGTAAAACAAAATTAGTTTTCATACTCAGTATTTGTCTGTTTTTGTACGAAATACCGATTCTGCCGAGATATTTCTGGAACAAAAACACACCAATATCCTTTCTAATAGAGGTGACTTTTAAATTTTATTTTAACTGTTTTTTTTTTAAATATGAAGTGACAAACGAGCAAGCGGCCACCTGAATTCACCGAAATGGAAAGCGACCGCTGCCAAAAACATCCGCAATTGCAGACGCATTGCCTACACTTAACTGACGGAGCAGGAGACGCACATAAAGAGGATATTTACCCTTCCTATGCAGATGCAAAGGAGATCCTCCACCGTCAAATCCACTTTTCCTTCCCATCCTTTCCTCTTAAGAAAAAAAGCGGAAAGGGAAATGGACTTAAATTAGGCCTCCGGCTGGACTAAAATATCTGTCATAAATACATACACATCTAATCTAATCTGACTAGACTTAATCTCATCTCATCCCGTCACTGGATTAAGCTACAATTTAAAATACATTCCTTTAACTTTACAGGTAGCAATATCTTTAGCAGTTCTAGAATATTCTCTGATATACATATGGAAGTTTCTAGAAGACTATGTCCTGCTGTACTCTGATGACATTTTAGTACAGTTAGCTAACTTCCCCAGCTTGGAATGGGTGTACTGTAACGTGTGCTGTGGCAAGAGTGACTGCTCTGTGACGTTCGCACAATTGCTATTGAAGTCGTTAAGTTTTATGCTCATGATGGCTATCTGTGTTATTTCTTTTTCTAAATAAATCATCCTAATTACTCTAATATTCGTGATAAAAAGGACATGTTTAAAACATTTATTTATAACTAGTTTTTACCGCGACTAGCGCGTGAAAAAACTAAAGGACCTTCGCTGTAGGCACCGACAGTTTCGAACCCGTTGGGGGTCCTTCTTGAGGGTGAGTGATTAATAGGGCAT